AAAAAAAAAAAAAAGAAACAGCTCCTACACTCGAATATGGATATTGTGGAACAGTTGAACCGTGAAAATGTACTCTACATAAAGAGGGTATGAAGTATGAAGGTTTCACAGAAATCATATAATACAAAAAATTTAGTATTCATGGCAATGCAGCATAACATAACCTAACACATCATGCATGATATACAATTATGCCTGCAGCCATGTACTACCCCATCTTCTTAGGCTGTAACAGTTTTTGTTTTGACTCCAATTTTTTTCCAAGACACACTAGGCATAATTTGTTTAGTGTCAACACGGTCCTTGTACTGAACAGCGAAGTTCAGCACTGAATCAAGGAGAGAATCTGAAAGAAAGTGTGGTTTGAGTCCCAGATCAACAAGTTTAGTGTTCTTGCAATTGTAGTAATGCTCTTCTGCCTCAACTCTTGGATTAGGCACATGGATAGTTTTCACATCAAGGCCCAGCTTCTCACCAGCTTTGATAACAAGGTCGGCAAGCTGATTCACTGAAAACTGCTCAGTGAATTGGTTGAAGACTCGGAACTCCCCTGGCTTCGCAGGGTTTGCAATAGCAAGCTCAACACATTGAACTGTATCTCTTATGTCAAGGAAGCCCCTAGTCTGAAATATGTGTATTATAATATACAGACAAAAAATTAGCATCAGAGAATTCAGAAGTTCTCCTATAGCCAGATGATCAGATCAATACAACTAAGTTAGGAGAGAAGTGTAAGAAAATAGAGCAACAGAAGAATCAAATCCTGTTGTTAAAATCTCAGCGGAACAAGGTGCAAAAGGCAGATAAAATCAACATTAGTAATGTATAATATTTGCAAACACTGTTCACGGTTACTATCAATGAGTCTCCAATATCTAGATTTTGTTGCAATATGCATAACTTGAGGTTACCAAGAAGCATAAAGCAGGACTTGTTTAATACAGTTACCAGTAAGTTTCAAAGAAAAATGTGGAACTACATCTATACTCTTTGATTCTTCTCAGTGGTCTAATAGACAATACATTATACATACAATATAAACATGCCCCAGTTGAAATATTGTCAAATCCTTCCATAACAATCATCAAAAGTCACTCTTCTGCATATCAATAACAAATAAACATAATAATGTGGGTATGTTACCTGGCCTCCTTTACCATACACAGTCAGAGGATGACCAACAGCAGCCTGAACACAGAACCGGTTTAATGCAGTTCCAAATATTCCATCGTAATCAAACCTGTTGTACAGCTCTTCATGCAGTGCAGTCTCATCTGTCCTTACCCCATATACCACTCCTTGATTCAAGTCAGTTGCTCGAATGCCCCAAGCTTTGCAAGTGAAAGCTATGTTATGTGAATCATGTACCTTGCTTAGATGATAGAATGAGCTAGCTTGTTTGGGATATGGCAACGTGTCTGTTCTTCCATTGTGAGTAATGGTAATGTAACCTTCCTCAATGTCAATATTTGGGGTCCCATATTCACCCATGGTCCCAAGCTTAACTAGATGACACTGCTCTCTGAACTCTTTTATGGCAAAGAGCACATTCAGTGTCCCAACAACGTTGTTTTGTTGGGTATACACAGCTCTTGACCGATCTATCATAGAGTAAGGAGCAGACCGTTGTTCCCCAAAGTGGACAACAGCATCAGGTTCAAATGTCTTGAAGGTTTCAGATAAGAACTCAAAATCACATATGTCTCCAATGTAGAGCTCAATATTTTTTCCAGTGAGAGATTTCCAACACTGAAGACGATTCTGGATGGAGGAAATTGGTGTTAGAGACTCCAGTCCAAGCTGGTGATCAAAAAGGCGTCGCACAAGACTGTCAACAATGGCAACCTCATAGCCCTTGTTAGAAAGGTGGAGAGCAGTTGCCCAACCACAGTATCCATCCCCACCAATGACCATGACTCTCTGTGGTTTAAAAGGATTACCAGAGCTAGTTTGAACTGGGGTTTCCTGGCTAGTTGAAACTGCAGCAGCATGTACTGATAGAGAATGTTTTCTTAGCTTCTGTTCTTGCAAGAAAAACCCTCTAGATGAAGGTTTAGAATTATTGGAAGAAACCGCTATTGAAAATGGTGTCGAGCATTGCTTAACAGGTTTTAAGTAAGGTTTATTTCTAAAGCAGATAGTCAAGGAGTAAGAGGATGATAGCAATTGAGCCATCTCAATCAGAGGATCCTCTAACTACTTTCAGCACACTCCTGAAACAAGAATTAAAAACCCATCACTTGCATTTCACTTTGAACAATACTAAAACACTTATTTCATCAAGCAAGTACTAATTATTCAAAGACTCATCAACATTATTTCCAACATTGTGAATCAAAAGCAAGCAATCAAGAGTGAATACTTGTAATACCAAGAGCATACATCTATACATAATAAATCTAATAAAAATCAACAAAAGGAAAGGAATAAACCCACTCAGAGAAATGGACAATAAGTGTATATATAAATTATTTTAGTTAAGAAAAAAAGACAGGAATACCAACTGGCTAGGGTATCACATCACAGTGAAGAGCTCAAATCACTCATATTTCATGACCTTAAAATATTGAACACCATATTCCCAAAGCCCTGCCTGGTTTGTTATAATCTTTTGCAAAAGAGGATAAAAATGATTTCCATTAATAAAAATCCATTCATTTGCCTTGCACTTTGGTTTATAACAGAGCACACAGTTCATCAAGCAAGTAATTATGATTCACTGTGTCATTAACCCAATTTCAAGCTTTGATGGATCAGAAAAACGTGACAAGAGAAACAGAAAAAAAATTGAATTTCACAAGCAGGCATCAACACAATACGAAACAGGGTGAATTAGTAGGGTGTCAGTAGCAAATTACTACAAAGAGCACTTCAAGTTGTCACCTTTCACCCACTCTAAAGATACTAACAGTCATTTAACTCATGCCCACATCAAAATGTAGAAAGATGGAAACAGAACATAACACCCCATGCAATAAAAACGGAAATTGCAAAATGGTAAGTGATTGATTTGATTACCTTGAGAGAAATCGAAATCAGTGTAAAATGAAGAGGAACTCAGAAGGGTGAAGTGGATTTGACTCTGGTTATGGTTGTGGATAAGGGTAGAAGCCGCTGTCTCTGCAACTGCAGTGTTTGGGTTTGGGAATCAAAAAGGGTGAGGAGGAATATCCCTTACTTCCCTTTTTCGAGAGCCCCTAGCTACAGGGTTTTATGCCCTTTATCAAATCAGACCAAAATAAACATAATTCGAAAAATCTTATAGTTGATGAATATACTAAGTCTTTTTTGCTCAAATTCGTGTTTTAGTAGGAAAAAAAAATACACAATTTAAAATTAACTATCAATTGTACTGATCTATTGAGTTCAATTAGTTATAATTATTAATACAACCTATAAGTTATGGAAACACATCAGTAAATTTGTTTTAATCAAAATTTGTAATAAACTAAGGTCAACTATATAATTATGTAAATCTGTAAGTAGATCTCTAGTATTTGCCTAGAATCGGAACCTTATAATGAAGATTATATCATCACATAATATGGGAAATAAAACACAGTTATATGAATCAAATTAAAAATATATAGTTGTAATTTAAAACACATTACCGACATATATATGTTAAGCGTATTTAAAAACTATATATTTTTTTATCTATAATTAGTTCATTTAATTAATTAAGTACAAAGAAAATAAAGTCTCAAGAGTTGATAAAATGTTTAAATAATAAGACTATGTTATTTTAATTGCCAAATTATCTGTTTGAAAATTA